AAATAAAATTAATACGTTGTGTTTACAGATGTAAATCCAATTTGTAATGAAGTATTTTTTTCTGATCTTTAAAGCCAAATTGAATGTACATGTTTATTTTGAGGTCAAATATAGTAGCTCTCATTCAGGTGTTGGGTTACCATTGAGAGTTTATCACAAACGGAAAATTTTAAATCTGCAAGGTTTCCCTTTTCAGCCTGGCTTAGATATATAATTAATATTAAACTTAGGAATGTATGTTCCATTTTTCAGAAAATTATACGTTCTTATTTGTATGTGTATAATTAAGTTTATTTCTCAGTATTATGTTGATTATATGTTTGTTTTTTACTGGCCTCAATATAGTTCTTGTTTTATTATCCTTGGTACTTAGCCCGTGTTGTTGTAAATGTATTATGCTAATAACTGCTAATTAGGTTACTTTGAAAACTTGCTGTGGTAGCTACCGGAAATTGGAGTTCTAAAAACCCCCGCCCCCCGGGAAGAAAAGGGGTTGTGACATTACAGCTACTAGCACACACCCCCCCCTTCTTCCAAGTATTTCTCCTGTTTTTCTCAAAGATTTGCCTTGATTAGACAGATTAATGGCCATTTTTCTTTCCTAAATAGTTGTTTCTTTCCTATTCTCCATATTTGTCACACACAAAGGTAGTAAGCTCAAATTTGGAATATTTGGATACTAAAAGGTTGTATTTTTGTATAAATCGTAGGTACAAATTATTTTTTAAATTTTGCTGGTAGTTTTACACAGTCATTTAAGAAATGTATTCTCAATTTTGCGACTTTCAGAAGTTGAAGATTTTCCTTTAAGTAATATAATATCTTTTTAACAGACTTTTATAACTTATTTTTTTGCGTAGTTAAGAAGAAAAATGTATATATTTTAATGGGAAAACTAGAAATTGCATAATAATTTCTATTCTTAATAGCCTACAAATTAAGTTAGCATTAAGTGTACCCTCAATTTTGGGACTCACTGTATATTAAAATTAGTGTGCTTTATTTCCCTTCTTCACTCTTCTGTCAATTAATCAAGCTTTGTAAAGTGCCTCAGAATGGGTTAGTGTAATTATTGATTTCTTAACATAGCAAATGATATGATAGATATAAGAAATATTTTTAGAGGTAAGTTATTGTATATTATAACTACATGTCACTTTTCTGTTTTTACGTAATTTGGATGTTCATCATTTCAAATTATACTGCTAACTAGGGATTAAATTTCCCAGTTCAGAAATCCCTGACTGTTAACAATGTGATATAACAGAAACAGAATGAATTTTGAAAAATGGCAGAATTTAGTAAATTACTTCAGAAGATCCAAAACCAATGTATTTAAAATATTATTTTACGATCTATTTAATGATACAATGATAAAAAAATTATTAAAATAAGGATATGATAGAAAATATCATTATGAAATTTTTAAAAAATCTACCTCTAATTTTGAAATATTTTAGGGTGTAACATTATTCTAATGTCGCAGGTACATACGTAAAAATTTCCAAGGCATTTCAGTTGATAGAAGATTCAAAAACTGTTTTCAAGATTTGATCTAAACATATACAGAAACTAAATAAAACATATATTATTAACACATTAATGGATTTTTAATATTCGGGAAATAACATCTTAGCAACAGAGATTTTATCAGGAAACTCTGCCCTCCACTAGTATATAGCTTGAAACATTGCCTCTGAACTGCAAATGCTCAAAACTATAAATGAAACAAATTTTGTAGAAAAGGTATACATTCATAACATATTTGAATTCTTTATTATCAGCAAAGAAAAGATTTTCCAGCAGCATTATATCAGCACTTTTATATATTGTATCAGCACTGCAAGTTATTGTCCAATAATTATGTTACACATACCAGCTGAAAAGTTTAGCAAAAAGGTGCAGTGTTTAGTGATTTAAATTTTGCTTAAAAATTTTTGAAAGTGAGATAGAATTTCGGCATAACTTTTGGAGATAAAACGTAAAGTTTGACATAATGAAAGAGCTAAGATGAAGACTTCATGACAATGACTTTTTCCCGCAAACAAAATACGCTCGTATTTTTGGTTACCCAGCAAAGGCCGAGTGGTAAAGTCGTTGATCGCCCAGGTTCCAATCCCAGCCAATCTGGGCTGGTTGCTTGACCATTTTGGTGGGTTTTTCCCATGTTTAACACAAATACGAACCAGTTTTCCTTTCCTCTAAGAAGATATCCCTTTCTTTAGACTCACAGCTCTTGAATGCTTGACCACAATGGAATAAAACAAACCAAAACTTATGCTTTTGTCTCAATCATACATTATAAGTACTATTAAATACATATAGTTATGACACATTGAAAGTTAATTCAAGAAAGAAGAATCGAAATAAGTAGGAAGTTCTAGACAGCTTTAGCACAGACTGAATTAAAATTATTCTAGTATAAGTTAAAGATTAAAATAAAAGTTTAGGAAATTCTACGTTCCTATTACCCAAATTTCAACAATCTGACTTCTTATGTATTATAGTGAACTATTTTCATGAAGATTTTTTTAGGGGGAACTGTCTTGCATTAATCCTAGACGAATACCTGTGAAAAACATGAAAATATTCATGCAACTAGACAGTTCAACATTATTCGAACTCTTGAACCAAATTACTAATGCTCAGCTGTCTTTCCACTCGACCCATTTGGTGGGCAAATTCCAATCCAGTCCTAATTTAACTTCTGAATGGAAGCCTTTTGCACCCCCTGGCTCGGTTCTTGATTATGCCCATATTTACAACACAAATAAGAAAAATCATCTTAAAGAATTAAGTAATAAGGACTAGTTTGACAGTATGTTGCAGAATTAGTTTCCTCAGAGTGATATCACTTTGAGCCAAAAGATATTCAGGAAATTGGATTCATTCATAACTTCTTTGTTACTACAATACTTTTTGCATAACATAAAAGAAAAGCACTTCAGAAGATGGAAGAACAAAACAAGTTTATAAGGATTACAGTCAAACAAAATTCTACAAGTATGCATACTTTCTTATTAAATACAGTGAGTGCTTTGCTGAAAATAAGATACAGTCAAAAGACTTTAATCCGAACATCCATAATCCGGAATAATCTATAATCCGGACCTCAAAGCTACAAACTTTCTGCGCATGCGTTAACGCATGTGCATAATACCTTTACACATACGCATATGCGTTTATGCATGCGCGTTTAATGTATAACGGACAGTGTAAGCTAAGCTAAAATTATCTAATTATCTATTTCAGTTGTTGCAGATTGCGTTGTTCCTTAATCTTCGAATTAAATCTGCAACTTATTATTTTTTGCAGACTGTTAGAGCAATTTTATAAAAGTAGCTTGAACTTCGATTATGTCAAATAGAATTTCTGATGTATATTTACTAATATCTAAAGGATCTACAAAGAGAGTATGTTCGAAGTCCATTAAACAAAAATGGAATTGTTGCAAAAATGGATAAAGGCATATCCTTCGTTTCTCTAACCATTCCGAAATCTGTTTATCAATTTCACGTTGCTCTGTGGCAAGGGGGGGAAACGCCGCGGCGCGCAATGAATTGGAAGTTTATCTGTCAGCACTATCATCTTCAGGGCAGATGTTTTTATTTTATTTGGCTTATAATTCCTTACTAAATGCAGTATTTCATCTCGATGTATTCCGTCTTTGATATGATTTAAATCAAATTCCTCGTCATTATAAATATCACGAATACATATCAAATAGTTGCAATTTTCTAATTTCGACTATGCGTAATGTATGCTTTACGCATGCGCGTGTTGAAAGAATGTTAATAAGTAAACAATAAATATTAAGCTCTTTTTTTGTAAAATTTTGTACCCCTTTAGATAATAATTGCTCTTTATTTCATAAATTACAGTTTCATATTTTTAATTTTATAATTTCTGCATGCCATCTTATCTTACCAAATTTAAATTGATGATCTGAAAAAGCAATAATCCGGAATCGCCGAAGTCCCAACGAGTCCGTATTAAAGACTTTTGACTGTATTAAATTTAGTAGAATGCTTAGCTTACAGTATCTAACAGTAACGGTTAATCTAAAAAATAAATGATCAGATAATTATCAGATATCTTTCAGCACAGCGTACCCACAAATCAAAAGTCAAACAGTTAAGCAATGAATAAAAAAAATACGATTTCCATGATTATTAGATGACCCTAATTTCATTCTACTGAAGCAGACATCATGTAGAATACAAAAGAACTTGCAAGTTAATATATTTTGCACCCCCCTATCAAGCATAAAATGCTCAGCTTTCCGTGATGGTAACTTCCTTAGTTACAAACACAATAAATATTATAGTTGCATTTTCCTTTTCAGTTAGAAATCATATTCAAGTACAGTACAAAGTCTGTAATCTGGACGTCCTTTATCCGGAATGATCTATAATCCAGATCTCAAAGCCACAAACTTTTCTTGGAGTATGCTTTACACATGCACGTTTAATGTATAACGGACAGTATAAGCTAGGCTAAAATTATCTTTACTGATTCTAAGGCATTTCAGTTAATTTTCCAGACTACACTGTTCCCTAATGTTCTAATTGGATCCGGCTTATTATTTTTTGCAGGCTGTTAGAGCAATCTTATAAAAATTAAGCTTGACTTCCAATTATGCCAAAAAGTTTCCTATTCTGGAGCTGCCAAAGGATCACAAAGCGAGCATGTTTCGATGTATACCGTTCCGACACGAAGAAATGACACAGAGGTTATTGAAAATGAAAAAATTTGATTGGCAAGTTAGTCGGTATTCTCGACATAAATTACAGGACTTGAACAGTGGAACTGAACAAGAAATTATTCTATTTATAGAATTAAAGAGAAAGATTAGCACAAAAAACGAAGCAACTTAACAATTACACTGAAAGAACGTTTAAAGTAAACAAATAAATATTAAGCTTTTTTTTTTTGTAAATTTTGATACCCTTTAGATAATAATTGCTCTTTATTTCATAAATTAGGGTTTCATATTTTTAATTTTATGATTTCTGCATGCCATCTAACCAGATTTAAATTGCTGATCTATAATCCGGGAAATACCCCTAATCTGGAATCTCCGAAGTCCTGAAGAGTCCGGATTACGGACTTTGTACTGTACTATGAAAACAATATTCGGCTTTCAAGAAGCTTCTGTATCAGTCCCTTCTTTTTATAACCTGTAAATCTGAAGAATTCAGAAATATTTTGAAGTTGATTATAAGTAGGAGAAAACAATTTCTTCACAAAAGACCATAAATTCTGAAATTTTTTGAAATAATCCGAATCATGTAATTTAAAATACACTTTAAAAAAGGGGGTAAGAGCTTAAGCAGCATAATAAAAATTCTGAATTATTATTATTTACAAAACACATATTTTACAAGTTATTCAATCCAAGAAAGCTTACTAGCTCTGCTACACTTTTTTAAACTTTGTACTTTTAATAGTTAAATGGTCAAAAATAAGTATCAAATTATGGCTAGCAGATACTTCTAAGCAACATGTGCATTGCAAAGCAACATAAAATATATTAAACATTTTTTTAAATCTTTTTTTTCATTTAATATAATCGTGCATATTCATAAATTACACAAAATGCAAACTTACCATTAATAGTTTGTTTCAATTTCTTCAACAATTTTGCATTACGAAGTTGTTCCCATTTTTTGATGCACATAAGTTTTTTTTCTTGTTTAGTGGCTCTTTTAGTTACGAGGCATGCCTAGCAAAATAAGATAAATGTGACAAAAACTTAATTTTTTAACACTTTAATTTTAGAAATATGATCATTAAGGCAGGAAGTTAACAAAATTTAACATTTTCTTTTCTCACAAAAAATGACTATCAATATATGAAAAAAGAGCAGTCGAAACATGTATTTAAGACAACATATATTTTAAAAGGATGAAATAAAATATAAAATAATAAATACAGTCAAAAGTCGTTAATTCGGACACCCATATCCGGGAGTCTATAGCCGGGCCTCAAAGTAAAACTTCTGCGCATGCGCCGCGTAGCACAGGCGTTTTACGCGCGCGAGACTACTACTGCGCATATGCGTGTTCGCGCAGATACGTTTTCGCCTCATGTTCTGTTACGGCGTGCGGCTAAAATTATTAAATCTATTCATTACTTATGACTGCGTTTTCCTATTCGAATGGTCCCGCTTATTTTTTTTGCCGTGAGCAATTTAAAAGTAAACTTGAACTTTCGCTTGCAATAGAATTCGATGCGGACTCCAAAGATCTAAAACGAAAGTATGTTTCATTTCACAACAAAAGTTTAATGCGCAAACGGCACCACTGCCGAATGGCAGAGACGTAGTGCGAAAAAATTTCATTGACAGTTCTGTATTCTCGGAACAGCATAAACGGACTGACAAGGAATTTAATGAAGAATTTGTCGGTAGATTACGAGAAAGTATTACACATAAATGAAGCACTAAACAACTTACAGGAAGAATGTTAAAGCAACAAAATCTTCCGCTTTTTTTTGTAAATTTTGAACCCTTTAGATCATAATGTTCTTTTCATAAATTACGGTTCATATTTTAATTTTAATTCTGCATGCCATCTACAGATTTAAACTGATCTATCTCCGGAAAAATCGATAATCCGGAATCGCCGAAGTCCCGACGAGTCCGGATTAACAACTTTTGACTGTACAAACTGCTCAGTACACTCCAATTTGAGATCGAAAATTAATCTCCCACTTAAATCTAAAACAAAACAAAAATTTGAATTCCGCTATTATTTTTTCCCCTTGCTGTTTCTTCTAAATTTATGACAGAACGGAACTGAAAAATAAATAGACAACCTACTTTCAAAATAAAAGAATTAACATAGCAAAGTCTGCAGTTTTAAACTAAACAATTAAAATAGGCATTTTGCAATTTAAAAATTAACTCCCAGAAATTCATGATACAGATCACAAAATCACATTTTAGGCCAACGGTTCAAAACAAGAGTACTCAATTATTAAAAAAAAAGAAGAAAAGAAAACACAGATGAGAGGAAACACACATTCCATTAGAAAACTAACTCAGCAAAGAAAATAATTATTTAAAACAATGGAATGCTTCCCCCCAATTTGGATGGTCAGTTTATAAAATAAATATTTCCCATGTCTGAACAGATAATTTTTTAGTTCAAAGGAGCTTTTTGTCCCTGAAGGACTATTGTTTTCGTTCTGCGATTTTTCGTTGGTTCACTATAAATGTCCGTTTCACTTTTCAAACTGTTGCCACCAAATGTTAAGAATCCTGCATTATATTTGAAGAAATTACATAAAAAATATGCATAAATGTATGTATATTTTTCACACTGTGATAAAACAACGGTACATACATTATAATCTTGAAACAGTTCAAAAGTTTCAATTCAAAGTTCTTTTTGTGCTTCCACATCCCTCAGTGACACGCAGCACAGGGAATGAAGGAGAACCTCCAGTGTCATTTTTTTCTACAATTCAACTTTTAGTGAAAGAGATTGTATGTGTGTTCTGTGACCTTTTCCCCATGTGTCATACCCAGTTTTGCTTAATCTTTTGATACAGATATACAGGGCTGTTCTATAGCAGGTAATGCAAGGAATGCCTTGTGCCCATATGGCAAATTCAGTTGGCATCCTGCAATGTGGAAGCTGCCTATGCAAGGACAATCCAATATCCAATGGTTTTTTTGCCGAAGGGAAATATTAGCCTATCAAAGGGGATAAACTTTCAGTATCTATTGTTAAACATCTGCTAAATGTTAAAATTAATTCAAAACATTCTTCTTATAAATTTTATGGTGTAATTAAAAGAAACAAATCATTTTTGAAAAAAAGTCATGATTTTGTGAAAAATATAACCGAATAAATAAAGTTTAATGTTTCAGTAAATTGTTAAGACTTAAGCAGTTTCAAAAATATATTGTGGATTGGACCCAAAAAATAGGGTCCTTTCCCACTTTAAAAAACACACCAGGACTCCCTATTAATATAGATCTATTTTCCAAAATAGTACTTGTAAAAGATTTCAAATTTGAAAGGTATCTATTATTGACTGAATGTTAATCCACATATCTCTTAGATGTAAAAATTATAAAATAGCAGTTATGACAAAAAGTGATAATTTTTTAAGATTCCCTCTCCTGGTATATAAAATAGAGAATCATAGTAGTCAAATAATAATGTAATAGAAAGAGCTTCCCCAACTATTTAAATAATAGATGATAGGCACAGACAGACTTGAGGTTGGTCATGGAGCAATGGTTACAAATTTTTTAAAAGTGTTATGAATGATGTGGAAACACTTCTAAAAAAACATAATATCGTAAATCAAGTCATAATCAACAAGACCTGTCATCCAAGTGCCAATGACTTGATTTCCAAGTTGCCAGAAAGACCACAGTGTAAATCCTTGCACGATTACTAATAAACAGCGAAACATTATTAAAGGCAAAAGTTTCCACATGTGATCTCTCTTCTTCGTACTACTTGATATTCACGCCCCCCCCCATCTAAACAGTACCAAGATGATCATTAGATTTAAACTACTCACATAGAGCTTGTGGCTGCCATATCTCCGCAGCTGCTTTTAATATGACATCAAAAGAACAAGTAAGCACTAGCCACTTTCACGGTATAACCCACCGAATATCCACTATTGTGAAACTACACTCCCACCGCTGCTTTTGGCTGCACAAACAAACTCTTATCAATTTTGATTATTCTTCCACGGACATCTTTTGTCTTTTAGGCTGATAAAGTAAATCTAGCACACAATCCTCTCTCATAAAAGTGTTCCAGTCAAGCATGGTATTCTGACAGATGTTAAAATGTTTATTACACCACTTAAGCAATGTTAGTTCCCCTGCCTAACAGTAGATGAAACACAACACTGTCAGCAATGATATTCTGAAACCATTAGTCGAATTGAAAGTTCTTTCTTTGATAACTTTTCTTGTTGCATATCCACATTTTTTTTTTTTTTTTTTTTTTTTAGTTTTATTCCATAGCCATTTACGTATATTCAGTTGTAAGGTAATATATCAAAGAGCATCCTCCTCAGTAAATTAAAAATTAGCAACTTTTTTTTTAAACAATGTTTAAACTAAAAAAAGACTATTACCATATCATGCAGTTTATCAAATAGAAGTCGAAAGTGAAAGTACCTTTTTTTAATATAATTTGGCAACACTTTTTTACAATGTTTAAATTGGAAAAAAAAAAGAGAGAGAGAGACTATTTATTACGGCAGCATGCGGTCCATCAAATTTATGAAAGTTTCAGTTTTTACATATTTTGTACAAATTGCAATACAGTACAAAGTCTTTAATCCGGACTCGTCGGGGCTTCGGTGATTCCGGATTAGGGTTTTTTCCAAACTATAGATCATCAATTTAAATCTGGTAAATTATAAAATTAAACATATGAAACCATAATTTATAAAATAAAGACAATATAATCTCAAGGATATCTATCAAATTTACAAAAAAAAAAAAATCTTAACGTTATTGTTTTACTTTTAAACATTTCTTTCAATGTAGTGCTAAGTGCTTCGTTATGTGCTAATACTTCTCTTAATTGTATAAACAGACATAATTCTTGTCCCTTTACAAAAATTCCGCCGTTCAATTCCTGTAATGCTGTACCGAGAATACCGACTACTCGTCAATGGAATTTTTTTTTTCACTAACTCTCTCTCCTTTATTCATGCTTTTCTTTTTGCAGCATCCACTTTTGTTTGATGGACATCGAACGTGCTTTCGAGATTCTTAGCAGCTCCGAATCGAAACTCTTTTGACATAATCAAAAGTTCAAGCTTACTTTTTATAAAATTGCTAACAGTCTCAAAAAATCAGTTGGATTCATTAAAGACGATTGCGCAGAAAGTTTGTAGCTGAGGTTGGATTATGGACGTTCAGATTAAAGACTTTGTACTGTATATCATGAGAGCAGTGAAAATCAAGTAGTATCCTCTTTTTCAGCAATCTTTTGTCCTTTGATAGCTGGATGAGAATATTTATACAAAAGATTCAATTACACTAATGAGAAAAAGCAAATAAGATACATTCTAAGCTGGTGGTCTCAAACTTGCAGCCTTTGAAGCTATTTTATGCAGCCTGTGAATATATTTTAACTATATTTGTTGCAAATACAGTGACTATAGTTTTAGAGACAAAGATATGGACTCAGCCTCATATGCACAACTGCTATTGAGGGGGGGAAAGGATAAAATGAAAAATTGTCTTTGTCATTTTTCTGTCTTTGTATGCTCTTATGTTAAACCATTATTACAATTATATGGGTAGAGTTTTCCACGTTTGTACGGTGAGTAAATTTTGTTCAAATGATCACTGCATGCTTGTACATCAGGCCACATGTCTAGAGTAATGTGGAAGTATATAGTATCAAGCATCGTCATCTTACTTCTGGTCTTAACTTCAAAGAGTTTTTACCAGTATATTGAAATTTATAACTAGTAACATTTGCTTGGTTTTCAAAAACACTAAAATATGGTGTCTTAACAAAGACACCACCGCACAAAGGCGAGAATACGTATGTAAAACACGTGAAATTTCAATTATAAGGATGATAAAGTTCAAGCCGATGTAATAAAGAAGGCCGAGCTGAGAAAGGGGTAGAGCATCGCAAGGCACGTGATCTGGAGAGAGTCACGAGCTTCAGTGATGTTCGTGAAGTGGTGAAAAATGCTTCTATTTCACCTTAAAAATGTCCT